CAAATGGCCACAGTGGCTGGAGCTGAGCTGATTCAAAACCAGAAGCCAGAAGCTTCTTCCAGGACTCCCACTTGGGCACAAGGGCCCAAGGACTTGAACCATCCTGCTTTTCTTTCCCAGACTATTAGCAGGGAGCTGAATCTGAAGTGGAGTTGCCAGGACTCAAACCAATGCCCATAGAGGCTGCTGGTGCTTGCAAGGTGAGTATTTAGCCACTGAGCCACCACACTACGCCTACTTGCCTCAGCCCTAGGCAAGGCTGTAAGCTTAGCGCTGAGCAGCTGGGAAACTTCGGCGTAGAGCAAAGGCATCACTTAGACATCTGCACAGGCCATTTTTAAACATAGGGAACATGGAGGAAATACCACAGAATTTATGGAGTGAAAGCTTTTCAAAAGAAACATAGGACTTAAGTCAAAACAGTTGACTCAATGCTGGAGGAGCTGTCTGCCTGTAAGTAGGAGGAGAGAAAGGAGGCTTTGTCAAGGGGAAATACAGACAAGCAAAGCTCTGTGGGAATGCCCCAGCAATCAGGGGTAATTGGGCTCCTCCACACTCGGCTCAGCCTGGGACAAGCCATGCTCATCTGTACCCGGGGTGTTATCTTCCAGAATTTTAGAAACACATGTCCATTTCTAAGTACTCATTGGAAACAACTCACCCAGAGAGGCAGGGTGGCCAAGTCCTAAGTGAGAAATACTGAATCTCTGTGGATAGGGACAAAGAAAGGAGTGAGTGGTACAATCGGTAAAATAGGCCAGTTGCAGCATGACATGGGTATGACAATTACATCCATGAAAACTTCAAAATATACCTTTGTACAGGCAGAAAAAAGGATGAGAGAGGATAATTAATCATTTTTGCACAGTCTGTTAGTGGGAGCTGACACGGTATATTTTCTGTCAAGTTTTGGAGATTGTTTTTAATTGCAAAACTATTAAAAGAAAACTATTCAGGAAATAGTTAAAGACCTCATGTTTCATTATGGTAAACACTACGGCCACAGTCTGCTCTTCATCCAGGAAAAATCCTGGCTGGCGCGTCCCTGCATTGCATCACGGATTGTAGTATGTCCTTAATCATGTTATCCTCCTGATGGAAACCCATCAGCTCTCTCACGTGTGCCTCTCCCACTCCATCCAGGTTCACGTACTCTCCAGAGCCCTCGGAACATTTCTTCCACTCTGCACCCAGCCAAGAAAGGGTGGGGTCCTCTCCGTGGCACTTACAGTCTCCACAAATCACAAATCACTCAGGAAATGAGCCAAGAATGTTAGCCAGAACAACAAATGGATGAACTCTGTGCCCTGGGGGAGGCAGAGATCCGTGCAAGAAACGGGGGCATCTCTGAGCTGGCCAGGGACATTGGGAAGCACCACCGTCAACAGAATGGGACAGTGTCCATGGGGTGATGCGGAGGGCACATTTTTTCGAACGAGTTTAAGAAGCAAATCAGAGGCCTGGCTTCTATCACTAGTCCTTGTTCCAATCACTTCCCCATTATGGATTTTCATTTTTCCCTCTGTAAATAAGTGTTGGGCTTGGTCAACATTTCTCAAAGCACATTCTTTAGAACACTGCATCTGGGATGTATTAATAAATGCCCCTGGAGAAGGATCCTGTTGCCAAGCATACTTGAAGATGTTGCCCTCTGCCTCCTCCTCTTGGAGATGCCCAGGAGAAGGTTCAAGTCTCTGAGAAATCCTGCATTAAGAAAAGGATCACACTGATGGGGACTCTAGCATTTCCTAAGTTGATTGCACCCTGCACTCTTTAAGAATTCTTTTCAGCATCTTTCTGATCTAAGGCTGAATGAAATCATACCGAAGGTCACTTCTCCCTCTCTGAATCCACGGCTGTGTCGAGCCTGTTGCTTCCACTGTGTAACCTGGCTAGTGTTTCCTTTGGCTGACAGCAGAGTATTTCAGATGACTTAAGACAGGCCTCTGTTTTGTGAGAGAACACACACATCTGTTAACAGGTCAGCACAGCCATGAGGGAGTGGAGTAGGGGAGATGCAATACAGCAAGGGGAGGGGCAGGTCAAAGCTGCTGCCTGGGACATTTAGGTCAGTTGGGACAATGCAATCGGTGAACCCAAAGTGGGTTGACAAAATAGGGCAAATGTCAGGGGGAGGGAAGGAGACTTGGAAGGTCCTTGGTGCTTGTATGGTTCACTATGTTTTTTTTTTTTTTTAAGGTTTACTTATTTTTATTGGACAAGCAGGTTTACAGACAGGAGGAGAGACAGAGAGAGAAAGATCTTCCATCCACTGGTTTGCTGCCCAAGTGGCTGCATTGACCGGAGCTGAGCTGATCTGAAGCCTGGAGCCAGGAGCTTTTCTGGGTCTTCCATGCAGGTGTAGGGTCTCAAGAACTTGTTCAATTCTCTACTGCTTTCTCAGGCCATAGGCAGGGGGCTGGATAGGAAGTTGGGTAGCCAGGATATGAACTGATGCCCAAATGGGATCCTGGCACTTGCAAAGTGAGAATTTAGTCACTAGACGATCGAGTTGGGGCCTATGGTCTACTACCTAATTGGAAGTTGTGGTTCATCTAGACCTCTGGATTTAAATACTGCATTTAATGTCTATGATGTATACATCTCATTACTATCTTTTAATGAGGAGGATGGGCTCCAGGATTATACAGCCCTTGCCTGTTCCTTTTGACCACAAGCTTTGCCTCTTAAGCTTCTTCCCGAAAATTAGATGAGTAGACACACACGAGCCCTCTTTGCCTAGTGACTAATGCACAGGGTGAGTACTTTGAGTGGCATTATCACAATTCGTTGTTATTATTGCATTTTCAACCCAGAGTCCTCTCTAATTCAACAGCTTCACTCAAACATCTCCCAGGTATCTTAGACCTGGCAGGTCCACATCAGATTTCTTAATTTTTAAAAAGTATTTTATTTCATTTTATTTTAAACATTGTTTACATAGTTGAGGGATGCATGCCCAGGTGGCTCTCCACTCAGGGTGGGGAGGATGGAGGCATGGTGGGAGATGGGTGGGAAACGCTTCCATTTTTTTCCTTCTCTAATGTTGACAAGGGTAAAAGGGAAGGAGGCTACTCCTTGCTGTCACTTTACATCAGTAACTGGGGAGGGGGTGTGGTCATCTCTTGATGCCCTAAAGACCCTAATGTGGGGAAGCATGTTTCGAGGGTGTTACTGGAATGGTTTTGGTAGTTTTGAAATGTTGTCAGCATGTTGAAGAAATCTTTCCAAGGACTATTGACTGACCAAGTCCACCTTAGTGCCTCCACAGACCCAGACACCTGCTGCAAAGCTTGCCCGCGACAGTGATCCATCTTGTTCTGCTTTCCATCCTCTGACAAGGCACTCATGGCCTCTGCTGGCCTAGATGAGATACAGAGAGAGAAAGGAAGAGAGAGGGAAGGAGAGAAATCTTTCATCTTTTTATCTGCTGGTTCATTCCTCAAATGGCCATAATGGTTGTAGCTAAGTTGATCCAAAGCCAGGAGCCTGGAGCTTTTTCCAGGTCTCCCACATGGGTGCAGGGGCCCAGGGACTTGACCTGTCTTTCACTGGTTTCTCAGGCACATTAGCAGGGAGCTGGGTCAGAAGTGGAGCAACAGGGACATCAACCAACTCTGGCTTCCATGTCTGTTTCTCCTTTTTTTTCTTTTTTAAATTTTATTTTTGAAAATATTGACATTGTTGGTCAGGGTGGGAAGGGTCAAGGATCAGGCAGAAATGGCAAAGACCATTGTTTACACATTTTCTCCTTCCTCTATCTGGCAAGGGAAGGATACAATAGGAAAGAGTACCTGATACCATCCGAGGATCCCCGTTGTGGAGCATGTTCTGAGAGTTTCGATAGTCTGTGTATCTTTAACACAGTTAAGTTTTTTTTTTTTAATCTAAGATTGATAGACCAGGTTGAGGGTCAGATACACTTCTTTATTTGTCTTCTTGATTATTGTCTGTGCTGTCTGGTGCCAACATCATAAACTCAGCACAGACCCTGGCACCTGCATGCATGAAGAAAAGAGGGGAATGTCACAGTGGATGCACCCTTCTCATCACCAAAAGTGCGCTGTATTGACTGATATGCAAACAACAATTTGGTCTCTTTTGGTCAGATAAGCTATAACAAAGAACCTGTACATGAGCTTATGAATCTGCTTTCAAGAAACCTTTCCAGCCTGTGATGACTGCAACAGCCCAGGGCCAGCTTTGAGGACCCCATCCTAGCCTGGAGGAGCCTCAAGACCCAAAAACTAAGGACCTTGATGGGATGGCTGTTGCTACAGTTTGGCCTGGTTTAAAAGTGTGCCCAGAGGTTCCTGCGCTGGAAGGCTGGTGGGCGCTGTGCTGACAGGAGATGCAGGAAGACCTTGCAGGGAGGAGCCCAGCAGGACGAGTGCACGAGATCACGGTAGTTCTCATGGAACCCTGCTGAGTCCTCCCAAGAGGGAGCTGTGGAAGGGTAAGTCTCCTTGGCATTTGCTCTTGCCCTGTGCTGCCTTCCTTGTGTGTCCTGCCAGTGGCAATGCCTTCTGCCATGACACCCTCACCAGAGTCTGGGTCAATGGGGGCTGCCTGATCTCCAGCTTTCAGGTTCCAGTGAGCTCAGGAAACCTCTTTTCTTCACAAAGCACCTAGGCCCAGATGGTGCATTGTAGTGGCAGAAAGTGGACAGGACAACTGTCCTTAGAATAGCTGACGTTTTTCCATCAGGCTGGTACCTGGTCTCAGCTGTTCCTGGCATGTTTAGAGTCGCCCAGCCCATACTTTTGCCTACAGGTTTTTGACAGTGCAGAGACACAGATAGTGGAGGTGAGTCATCCCTTTGAAGACTACTTGACAAAAAGTCCACATTTGCAACCATCTTGTCTCTGGCAAACACGGGGCCGGTCTGCTGCTCTTCCCAGGAAAGTTAACATAAATGTTTATTGACAGAACAGTCATCGAGAAAATAAAGTTGCTGATTCATTGCCTTACACTGAAACCCTTTGTTTTCCCCCTCTGCTTCCTTCCTCTTTATAAAGAGACACGCTGAGAAAGAGAACATTTGGTGGGACCCGCTGGCTGGGATGTCTCCTTGATCGCCTGTTCCTGCACCTGCAGATCATAGTGGCTTCTGCCTGGACGGTGACGTTAGCTTCTTTGCCTTCGCCTTGAGACTGCCCCTTGGAGCCATGGGAGCTGCAGGCCTTCTCACGTTGGAGGTGAATGTCCCTGTGGTGACAGTGGCCCTGTCCGTGACTCTCCTGGCCCTCCTGAAGTGGTAAGTGCAGCCTGCCAGCATCAGGAATTGGGACATCCTGGGACATGTCAGCTCTGAAGCCTTGCTGGTGCCAGGGTGGGGTATGTGGGAGTGTTTTTCTTCTTCTCTAATCTCCGGGGAGTTGAGTATTAACACAGCTTCAGAATGAAAAGCAAACAGTCAGGTTAATCTTTTGCTAAAATGCAGGAGATTGAAGTGTTGGGGGAAGGCTGGTGATTCAGTGCCTGAGAACCCTACACATAATTAAGTTTGAAAGAGATGGGAAAAGAAACACATGGGAAAGGCACTGGCTTTGGGTGGAAGCATTTCCTTCGACCTGGTCACGTCTTCCCATAAACTTAGAGGCCAGTGCAGACTTGAGCTGCGAGCTGCTCCCTGGGTTTCTGGCAATGCTACCGCAGGCTCTGGGGCATCTGTGGATGGAAGGCCTTCCAAGGACGCTGCCTTTGTGCGGACTCAGGCTGTTGGTTAAACTCGTCAGCTTCCTCCATCAAAAGCACCTGGATCTAGGTGGCTTGCGTTTTGGAGGAGCAAGTGGAAAAATAATGGAATTGGAACAGCATTTCAATTTGTTTCCGGTGGTAATAAAGCCTCCTCTAGATTAATAACTGGGAAGGCACTTTGAAAAGCATCAAGCATTATGCAAATGTAAGGTATTCTTCTTTTGGAATTTGCATAGCTGAAAGTGGGATTCACGTTTGATGTTCTGTGATGATGAAATTACTTCTTGGAAATTGGCTCTGAACCTCAGCGCAAGTCCCAGTGCTGGTTCGCATTTTAGCTGGTTTAATTACCTTTTGAACCTTCCAGTCTCAGTGTAGCCTATCTTGCATTGAAACCGGTCAGGTGCAAACCAAAAGCCAATGGCAGCCTCTGGCTTCCACCCCCCAGTACCCTAGCTCAGGGATCCAGCACAGGGCCGGACACACAGAAGGTGCTTGGGAGACCTCAGCCTCTGTAGCGAACCAGTGACAGCAAGTCAGGGAAAGCAGGTCTTTTGCGGTTTAGTTTTGTTTTACTTTTTTAAAAAAAAACTAGTATGGTTTTTATTTAACATTTATTTTGTTTTATTTGAAAGGCAGAGTTACAGAGACAGAGAGAGACAAAGATGGAGTGCGACAGAGAGATCTTCCATTCAGTGGCTCAATCCCTAGACGGCTGCAATGGCTGGGGCTGGTTCAGATCGAAGCCAAGAGTCTGGAACTCTCTCTAGGCCTCCTGTGTGGGAGATAGGAGTCTAGGCACTTGTACTATCTTCTGCTGCTTTCTCAGGCATATTAGTAGGGCCCTGGATCAGAAAGGGGGCAATTGGAACTCAAACCCGTATGGGATTCAACATTGCAGGAAGCGGCTTAACCCACCATACCACTACACTGGCCCTACTAATAGGTCCATCTGTATTAATTTCTCATAGACAACAACGCACTGATGATGATTCCCCAAGGAGGTTCCCTGGAGTCCTCCAGATGGGCTCACCACGTCAGTGTTGGTGCTGCACACTTGTATCCATGTCTGCTTCTGTTTTTTCTTGTGTCAATTCATGTCTGTATTCGTAAAACCAATTTTAGTGAGTGACATACAGTGTGGACTCCATCAGTGCTTGATGAGTGAATGACTGAGTTGCGTCCATTAGTGTTGTGCTCACAAAGGGGTGTGTGTCCTGACTGATAAGCGGCTGTGGCTGGTGTTGACAGTCAGCTTGCAGCAAAGGCTCACAGTTGGCCACCTGACTCCAGCCAGCAAGGCAGCTGTACATTGGTAATCTATTCTGGGGGCCATATTAATAACCCGGTTCAAAGACACGGAGATTTAAGATAAAGGTGCTAAGTACAGATGGCAAATAGAGGTGAGAGCTGCCTTCCATTTGTTATCACCAAAATATTTATTGATCTGTTAATGTGTGCTAGCCATGGTGGGAGGTCCTGGTACAAGGTCAGGGAACAGGAGGAGTTCAGGGTCAAATGCCCAAGGCAGGTGTGGGGGACAGGCAGAGGCTCTGGGGTTGAGCTCTGTGTCTGGAGAAGGGGATGCTAGGGGAAGGAGACTGCAGGAGAGAATGGCCTTGGTCATGGTTATGTCGCCTGGGGCCCCATTTCTGATCCAGTTCCCTAAAGATGATCTTCCTCAGGCTCACATTCGTCCTATCTTGGGCAAGACCCTTGGCAAACACAAATGAAGCAAGGCTGGCAACTGGTCTCCCACTACAGAGGGGACACATGTGGAGGAGGGAGGTTGCTTGGACGGCAAGGAGAGGCTTCATGGATGGAGAGGGCTGCAGGTGTGGGGACCCTCACAGCCCCTGAGAAGGAGCTGTGGCACATGTAACATTCTGAAGGTTCAAACTCACTCGACCATCTTTGAAGAGCCGCACCTGCTACCAGGCTAGGTGAGACAGCACTGGGAAGCTGAACACTGAGCAGGTGAAGCCCCGAGGGAGCACAGGATGTGTTTCGAAGGCAGGGTCAAGGTCTCCTCTCATGCAGTTCTGGCAACGCATGCCCGAGGCACTGTTGCCCTCTTCGCCTCTGTCTGGATGTGGTCAAGTTCAGGAATCCACAAACATCAGCCCAATATCGAGGCTTCCCGTTTGGCTCTGCTCCTCTGTCAGCCTCCACTGCTGTCCCTCCTTCTCTCCCCAACACCGTGTGTGGTAGTCATATTGACCTGGAGCATTCTGCTCTGTGCCATGCCTTTGCCCCTGGCTGCTCCCCTTCCAAGGTATGCCCTCCTTCTTTCCCCAGTGCTGTGCCTAGGGCTGACCCCTCCATGAAGTGTTTCCTGCTTGCTCAAGAAACCCCCACTCTCCAGCTCTACTTTCATCAGATCTCTCATTCTTTGTTTCTCTCATAGCACCTGGCACTTGGCTAGTTCCTAGTAAGTGTTGGCTGAAGGGTCCCTTGAGTCTTTTATCTTGGCCAGTGCTTTTGCCTTCCCCTTGGCCTTCACAGTCCATTCTCTTGGCTTGGGGTCTCCCCACTGGGGCAGGCCTGCTGTGCTCGCAGCTTCCGTCTGCTGCCTGGCTGAGTTGGTGGTTGTGGTCCCTCACCTTGTAGAGCAGGGAGCCCCATGGACTCAACACACCCTTCCTAGCTATCAAGTGTGCATGTGAATCTGGAAGAAAGACAAAAAGGCTAGTTTCATCTAAAAAAAAAAAAGAGAAAAAATGATAAAAAAAATAAGCACATATATTGTCTTTTTCTCTTTTTCTCAATGATGATCATTTAAACTGACTGAGCTATCACCGAGTGGTTTGAACTGCACTGACATACGCTCAGGCCTCGCCACCTCCCCCCAGGTACTGGGGACAGAGTTGTGGATGTACATGATGGTGGCTAGGAACGCGTGCCAGGGTGATCAACATACAAGATAAAAATATTTCAAAAGTTCATTTTCTGTACAAAGTGACTAAAACATTACCGTTCTGGAAGACATTCTATGTGCAAGGACCAAGTTTCATGAGCTGAGTATTTCTGGAAGCAGCCTGAGAGACTTGTGTATTTCAAACCCTGCCCCCCCCTTTTTTTTTGGTTAAAAATGTTTTTAAGTTTGCATGAACTTGAAAAGCAGACTTTTCACAGATCTATGTAGTTCACTCCCCAATTGGCCATAACAGCCAAGATGGGAGCCAGGAGCTCGGCTCCTTCCTGGAATCTTACGTGGACACAGAAGCCCAAGTACTTGGCCATCCTCTGCTGTTTTCCCAGACACATTATCAGGAGGCTGGGTTGAAAGCGGAGCAGCCAGGACTCAAACCAGCACTCAAACCAGCACTCATGTGGGATGCTGGCATCACAGCTGGTGGCTTAACGTGCTGAGCCGCAATGCTGCTTGGGGTATTTAAACTTTCAGGCAACATTTGGGAACTGGTAGCTGCATTTCTCTTTGGAGGATCAAGATTTCTTTATTCTTCAAGAAAAAAAGGATAAGGAAATATCCCAAACACGAGTAGCAGCTTTTCCCCTCCTCCTTTTAATCTTTCTATATCTTTCACATTTCTTTAATGGGAATGAATATTTAGCAGTAACAAAAAAAAATAATGAATTTTACTGAAAGGAGTGGGAAACCTTTCTTTCCTTGGGGTGAGAGAGCAGCTTCACGGGTGTGGTGGGCAAGGGGGTTGGGACTACACGCTCACCCTCTAATAACAGAGGAGTGGAGTGTCGGGGAGGGGTGGGAGGACTTGAGGAAGGGGGCGTTTCCTAGGGAGAAAAAGGTAGTGAGTGCCCTGGGGGCTGGGGAGAGTGGCCTTGGGAAGGTGGAAGGGCTCCCCAGGCCAGCCTGTGTGGAGCGCTCGGATGCCAAGATGCACGTCCAATGTAAGAATAGGACTCAGCAAGGCAGTTCCTCACCGTGTATCCTCCTGTGCACGGTTTAAACTAAGATGCGAGTGGTGATTGAGACATAAAGTTCATATGGAAAAGTCCGCCACTACCCCGCTAGTTTCTCAGTGAACTTTTCTTCGCATGTAGAACTGGATTGTAATTCTAGACCCACTCCCACCTCCAGACTATATTTCAGAGAATCCACTGGAGTGGGCTTATGGACACCCAGAGAAGCCTGCTAGAGCTTGGCAGAGCTAGAAGCTGTTTGGAAGTTCCCTGGTATGGTCAGGGGTGGAGGAAGGTGCCCAGAAAGGGAGTATTTGCAGACAGAAGGTCAGTTTGGCCACCTCTTCTCATGTTCTTTTTGGGAATTAAAGTTGAGGCAGGCCTTTCATGGAGATTTGGAGCTTATCAAAGGCCCTGGGAGACTCGGCTCTAAAGAATCTTGTCTGTAGCAATTCAGACCAACAGGGACTGTTCCCCTACAATGGGCGGGCAGCTGGATGTGTCTGTGGTCAGGTGGCTGCCCCACCTGCTTGGAAGCTAAGGGATTGCTCAACAGGAACGGAATGATAAAATAACCCCCTTGGTCAGCTCTGAGGTTCCAGGCTGCTGTTTTGTTTACATCAGGACCAGGAGTGTAGGGCTGGCTCCAAGTTCAACATCAAAGGAAGCAAA